ATATCAATACAATAACATGGCACAGTGATATATGTTTACAAATGGTTTAAATAACAAAATCTAATGGTATGTCTAACAATTCCTGTAATTTCAGAATAGTGATGATTATAAAGTGGTATTTCTAGAGATGTGCAACAATGCTAATGTAATATGAAAATATCCCTAATTCTGTTGGTGATAAAAGTTACACGTATCAATAGGGCTACTGCCATTCATAAGAAAGAAATGCTAAATTTCAGAGGTCAAAAAACATAAATGTGTGAATTTTTTCCTGTCAAAGTTCATACACTTGTGAATTCAGTCCCTTTGACTTATTTGCATCTAAAGTTAAGAACGTCACCTCCTACGAGATGAGTGCATATGTGTGCTTGTGTGTGCATACCTGTGCTTGTATGCATATGCTTCAAAGAGGGAGGAATGGTGGAACATTACAGAAGTAATTAAGATACAAAGTTAAATATTGGTTAAATATGCTAGGATTGGAACAGAAAATGTCCCTAGAGAGATTCAATAGGAAAGTAAATCAGAAAAGGTTTAAAAGGGGTGAAAAGAGAAGAAAAGAGCGTACAGATAAGAAGCAGGCACTGTACCTAGTGGGTCATCATTTTCTTCCCATCCTCCTCCTCCACAGTTCACTAAACTGACTATAAAATTGGCTTATCTCTGAAGTGCCTTAGGTGAATATGATGTAGAATAGGTCTCAAAGAGTTTATTTTCAGAATTCCTTTGTAGTCTTACAAATCCAGAAGACCCCAAAGAACTTTCATTTCTGTAGTTTATAGCCATAAATTTTATTGCAGTAAAAATTAAAATTGAGAAATTCAAAAACATTTACTAATTTCTTACTTGATAATAAGAAACAATCTATATGTATCCATGTAAATAACATTTTTTTTGGAGAAGCATAACAATATTTTCCAAAACAGCAATAAAAAGATGAGTGAAATGTCTTATCTCTTTAACCTTAGTTTAATAGAAGATAGAGTCTATAACTGCTTTTGCATTCAATATGTTGCATTAGCACAGACTATGTAGCTTCTGGAAAACTCCACTCTGTTTTTTTTATAAAAGATTTATTTTATTTATGCATACAGAACAGAGGTACAGGCCAGAGGTGTGAGGGGTTAAATTCACCAAGGGTAGAATGGGAAGCAGAACAAGCAGATATACTGAAATACTCTGCTGAGGGAAGCAGTGGGTGGGTCAGGAGAGGCCTGCTGCGCCATGTGGGTCCCCTTCCTGGCCAGGGATCGAACTCCTGCTACAGTGACGTGATAGCTTCATAGTGCTGGACTTTAATCTGTTGCACCACCAGGAAGAGTCCTCCACTCTGTTCTTTTGAAAGAGTGAGAGTGAACTAGACAGGTCATATCTTAGTTTGCTTGTGAAAATATAGCTTATAGACTCTCAGAGATTCCCATACCATACTTTGCGAACTGTTGACTTAGGGAGATCTAATATTTCTGTTCTTTGTTTTATAACTTGAATTTTTTTTAATTAAAGAAAATGACTACTTTTATAACTAGAAGTAAATGGCCTCAATATTTAAACATGTGCTGGATTACTCTTGTCTCTCTAGATGTCCAGCTGTCCGTCCAGCTTTCTCCACCCTGCTCTATGACCTGCATGGATAACATCCACAGGCTTCCGTTGTGTGTTTGATCAATAGGTAGCATGGGCCAGAGATCCAAGGAAGGCAGGACAGTGAAGTTGGGGTATTTAATTCCCTAGTAGACGATGGCTAGAATTCTTGTCACAGAACCCTTTGCACATAACCTCTCTTTGCAGGTTTCTCCAGTTCTGTCCTATCCTCATCCCTGCAGGCAGAGGGGTATACAGAGTCTCCATGTTACTACTCCTAGGTGATTAAGAACTATGATTTCTCTCTGCCTGTACGTTTGGAAAAAGTCTGCTTAATATATTTTCCACCAAATTCCTCGTTAGAGTGCAACATCTATTTCTTGATGGTCTGTGACTAGAGCGCAATAATTTGCTGGAATAGCTCCCAGAACTCAGGAAAACACTTTGTTTACTATGATCAGTTTATAAAGGCTATATATATTATATATATTATAAAGGCTATAACTCAGGGATAGTTAGGTGGAAGGGCTGCGTAGGGAAAGGCAAGTGAGGAGCCTCTATCCCGTCTCTGGGCTCACCACCTGCCCAGAACCTTGATGTATTCACCAATCTAGGAGCTTGCCAAACATTTTTTCCCACATTATGCTTAGTATTATTTTCACTCTATATGTTGAAGATTGCTTTGTACTACTAAGAGTAATCTAAAGTTCTTCATCTGGCTCTGGAAGAAGATGTATGATCCCCATTTTATAGAAGAATTAAACAAGGTTCAGAAACCTTGATTTCTAGTTCAAGTCACACATCTAGTTAATGGCAGTGCCCACCAATCAACATTTAGGATACATTATGTGTTCATGATGGTATATACTAATTTTCCTTTTCAAATTGTGAATCTTGTTGGACCTCCTCTAGTGGTTTAGTATTTAGTTTACTTAAATAAACACACAATAAAGTTACCATAAGTATGTTTTAATCCTGTTATATTCTCAGCACCTACAGCAGTATTTAATAGATCATCTTTAGTGATGGAAAGAACGAATAATCTGTAGTTATAAGCTGCCTAAATGACTGTGCTTTGTATTAGTTTCTGGGTCAATCAAGAGAAACTGTGAAGGGAATCAAGCAGATCAAGAAGTTTCTCTGATGCCCTTCTACAGCTCTTAGATTCTCAAGACAGGAGTCTCCAGATCCCTACTTTTATATCTTTAAATTCCTATTTTGGAAACCAGGATCCCAGATTCTTTTCCCCCTACATAAGTTATATCAGTTGAAGAAGTATGATTTAAAGAAATGTACTCTATAAGTCAGTAAATAAATATTTCCTGTGAACTATATTATCTCATATTAATAATCAAGGAAACAAGGGGAAATGGGTCTGTTTTTTCTTATTTCTCCCAACATGCGAAAGTAGGGAACCGAATTGCACTTTACTGTTACTCCATTGTTTATGCTAGAAGATCTGGAACACTAGTGTTTATAAAAGAAAAAAGAATCCACCTGAGAAAAAAGGTCTTGACCTCAGAATACGGGATAACATAGGTGTGAGTAGTCTTAGGATTCTGCACCCCAGGTGGATGGCTTGTAAGAAACACCACCTCCTTACAAACTAGAGGAGTAAGTAAAAAAACTGAATTGCAAATGTTTATTTTTGCTACCCTCACTATGGCTGGGCCTTGTCCTGTTTCTAAATTTGTCCTGTCCAAAACACTGACAGTTCCTAAATTGAATAGTACTTTGTTAGATTAAGCTGTCTGCCCAAGCCATTTGAACTAAATTATAAGGCTTAAGTCCTCTTTCAGGGCATTTGAATAGGAAAAAAAAAAAAGTATCCTAAGGTTTAGAAGCTATTATACCTTCATTATTCTCGGATTTTTTGTTCTCTTTGAGGGTGGTGGTAGTAGATTTACCCTGGGGAATACTTTTTAGTTTAATTCAACTACTGGAGGAATCATGCCCACATTTCTTCATCCATCTTTTTACTCATTCATTCTAGGATGTCTTTGTGAAGCTTTCCTGGGTAAACTTACCCACAGGGAAGTTACTTTTAAGTCCCTTGCAGATTTAAATTATTGCTTTTTTTCATCTTTTTGTACCGGGACTGCCTTATTTTTGTATCGCTAGCTGTACAGTGTCTGGCAAATGGCAGGCAGTCAATAAAGGTGGAGTGAATGAAGGTCTAGAGACTAGAACTAGAGTTTTAAATATCAATGTTGACTAAATAAACCTCAAAGGCCGATGCTAGACAGTGCGCGTTCAGAAAAAAGAAAAATTATCTCTAACAGTACAAAATCCTGTCTTCAGATCATCTGTCCCATTTTTTCATGTCGCTTTAGGCATCTCCTGACACCCCAATTTCCCGCTAACTCATTCTCCTCTTCGCGGGACGGGTCAAGCAGGTATAGAAACTCTGCTGCTCTGATTGGTCAGCAATGACTTCATTGTTAGGGAACATCCGGGCTTTTCTCCTCCCCACCACACCTCCCACGAACCCTGCGCTCCGAGTTTCCCTCTCTCGCGTGCGCCCCACCCGCTGGATGAAGCAAAACAACCGCCTCTCCAGACCGCTTCTTATCCGGCCTCCGCCATCCCTACCGGCTCTATGGCTTAGAGAGGCATTTATACCCTCCAATGAGAGCCCAGCACGACTTTGTAAGCCAATCAGCAGTCTACTCCCTGCAATTCTGGGTGGGACTATGTCTCCACACCTATAACCCGACAACCCGTTGGCTCCTTTACGGCGCTTGTTTTACGCAAGGATCAGAGGTCAGAAATAAAAGGGCATGTTTCTCACCGAACGGAAAGGACCCGCGTATACGCGCTGAGTTTGACCGTTTTCGAAGACTTGGCCAATCGTTTTTCGGATACTCCCCCGCCTTTTGCGCGTTTATTTAAAAAAAGCCGGTGTGACGGACTTGGAAATTGGTTCGGTGACAGACACATAAAGAAAGCCAATGACTGAGGGTTCGAAGCACTTTTTGGGCCATTAGGGAAAGAGACTGTAGGTTCGGCCTTTGCGAGGCGGAGCGCAGGTGGGCGTTATTTGATTGACTGGGGCCTGTACTTATGGCTGGTAGGTGGGTTGGCCCCTGACGTCCCGATGGTTTAGCGGAGGCGGGGCTGAATGAAGTGAAAGGTAATGAAGGGCTGGGTCTGCCTTAGTGGGCGGTGTTTGATGGATAGTTGACCTTGCCAATTGAAGGTGGTCATGGATATCCAATGGGAACGCGGGAACTCAAGAGGCGGGGCACGGTGGGCGGGGAAAACGAGGTACGGAGGAGCGAGGGCAGCCGGACTGGGAAGGAGGGCAATGATCGACGGGCGGTCCAGCAAATCCCGTACAGCGAGAGGTCGCGCGGCGTCCCAATGGGTGGGGACGGGGGCGGGGCTCCACGAGGGGCGGGGAAGGACGGGGTGCGGGGAGGGGGTTGCAGAAGGAGCCGAGCGGCTGCTGCTCAATGGCGGAAAAGCCGCCGGTTCTCTGACCGCCCCGGCCCCCTAGCAGTTGCGGGGGAGTTTACTGCCGGCGCGGCTGGAGTCTCTGTTTCTCAGGGTTCGGTGGCTGGAAGATGCTCCAGAGAGACGGGGCTGCGGCGGAGGAGGTGGCGGCGGCCGAGTCGGCAACGGCGCTAGGGTGGAGAGAAGGCGGCAGCGGCGGCGGCGGCGGCGTGCGGGGCCCGACGGTGTAAACAGCCCCGGAGGCGGCGGAGGCGGTGGCCGAGACCCCGAGGGGAAAGCGGCGGCTGAGGCTGGTCGCGCCTCTGTTGAAGCCTGGGCGGAGTGCAGCGGGGGGCTCTGCGGCGGGCTCGAGCGGACACCCTAGACCTCGCCTCCCTCCCTCGCCCCAGGTAAGGCCGCTTGGCGCCCCGCGGCAGGGGAACGGCCGGGAGGCTCAGGCGAGACCTCCGGGGCCGTTTCGGAGTGCCTGGGAGCAGCTGCCGGGGCTCTGCCTGCCTAATCCTCGCCTTGTCCCCGGTGCCGCGGAGCCTTAGGGGACCGAACGCCGGGCCTGGCTCCTGGGTAGGCCCCTTCCCCAGCCGCCGCCTCCGCGCTGGGCCGAGTGTTGGGAGAGGTTCGGGCTGGGGATTTTAGTTTGCTCCCGCGCCTGGAAGTAAACTCTCTCCTCTTTGCCTCGGTCCGGGAGCATCTCTCACAGCCCGGCGCCGAGGCCGTCTCAGGCTCCCACTCTTCGGTCCCGGTGCGTGCCTGTCGGAAAACATTGCCTGTCCCCATTTGTTTCTTCGGCTTCTGCCTATTCTGCGCCCCACTTCACTTCCTAGTTAAGTCTTTCTCGCCCTTCTGTCTGTGAGTCTCACCGTCGTCTTGCTCCTTATGACTTGAAACCGTTTCTCTTTTCAGTTGACCCCGGGCTGCTTTACCCGGCCTTCCTCAGAAGTCCTTTTCGGATGTCATTCTTTTTAACCGCGAGCGAAGTTCTGAAATGAAACTGCTATTGTCAGTACCCCCTATCTGCCAGAGGCTCACTAAGAATGTACTCACCACTTTTCTGTGCATCTCAGTTTGTTATAATTTAACTGAGCCTAACGCCCTTTAAAAAACAGTAGCTTCTATCATTAAACGTCAACTTGGGAAAATAGCACTGCTTTTATAAAGTGAGGGGCTCCGTGAGTGTTGAATAACTGTTTTTATGTTGCATGGTCCGTCGTGTCAGATATAGGCGATCTAGAAGATTTGCCCATTTTATTTGACAAAAATGCTTTTTAAGCATTTGATAGCGTCCCAGATTCACTAGGATTCAAGTTGGCTTAAAAACAACTTAACTTTAGAGTGAGCACAAGTAGGAAGCTGCTTTTTTATGAAATCACAGTTAAAGACCTTTTAAAATAGGCTCCACATGTTTAATGTATCAAAATAAAGTTGGCAGGAGTCTTGTAAAGGCTTATTTAGGAATTTGAGTAGTCTTAGTGTTATGTAGCTATTTTGGGAAAAACATTCTTTTTCTGTTAGCAAACGTTTACAACTCCTGTGATGTGAGAATTACTGAGGTTTATTGTGGGATTAACACAGGAACTCATTTTATTTGTGCTACTGCATGGATGTAGAAGTGGTAAATTTTCCGGAGTAGACAGTATATGTTTTAGGAGAAGGAGAAACAATGCCATGGGCACTGAGTGTTAATAAACATTTCATTTACTTTCTCTCTTGTGCAATAGTAAAATTCCTATTGTCCTCCTACTTTTAAATAGAACATTTCTGAAAAGAAAATAAACAAGTGATTCTGATTAGTATTAGCAGTCTTTTCCTAGTGTATCGACTTTTAAATATAGCTGAAATTGTATTATTAAGACAGTAATTTTTAAAAAAATATGTTGGTAGGTCTCCTGAATGGGCAATAGGTTGCTTTAGCAGAACTTTAAATTTAGTATTTAGAACATATTCTTTTTCTTTCAGGGATAATCCTGATTTTTACTGTGTTTTTAACCTTTCAATGTCTCTCTTTTTTAATGGTGGTGTTATTTATTTTCCCCATCTTTTTTGTTTTCCTTTCATCAGGTTGTCTTAGTTTCTGCAAGTGGTTCTTTATGTTGTGTTATCAGAATGGTGACACATTTTTATGCTTTTTCATAGCTGTTAAATTTTCCACAGTTTCTTGTACATTATCCTTTGGATTTGTTAATGTGATTATTCTTTCAGAAGTGACCAGCAGAGCTTTCAACACCTGTTTTCTCATACTGGGTGTCTGATTTCTGTGTAGACGCCAGGAGTAGGTGAAAGCCTTTTCAGTTTGATAGTCATGTCAGTAAATACTATGTTAGTAATTCATATAATTACCAAATCCTTTAAAAAGATCTCATCTGAAGGAATGGTGTCCTGTCTAAAAGAACTGCTTCTAAGAACACCTGTTTTGGTTAGAAAGTGACTTGCCAAAAGTTTATTTTCCTGTAACATACATTTTTTACAGTGTTTTGAATTACAGTGTGATACTGTAGATTATCTCTTGGCCTTCTTGAAAGAATACTATTCTCCAAGTATAACTTGTTGATTGTGGAGATTCATTAAAAACTGAGTAAGCCAATAGTGGAAGGATTGCAGACATGCCCATGTAAATGGGTTGGTAAGTCATTCTTTTATTGCACATTATACTGGGTGAATGTTTTTTCTCCTACCCTCATTGGTGCCAGTTACATATGTCTACTGCTACCAGTTTATAGTCTATATATAGACTACATATGTGTCATAATTTATGATATTACCTAATATAGGTAGTAGTAGAATAGTGTGATTCTAACTCTTGGGCCCTTTAAGATATTAATAAAGTGAATAACATTAATTTATTAAAATACAACATTATTTTATTTTTTTCTGTGAAATAATGCCTTTCTCAGTTTGCTGATTTTAGTAAAAAATTTGTTGGGCAATAATTTATAGAATCAGTTATAAAAATTTTTGTTAAAGTTCCCAAATAACAAAACTTAAGTAATTCTTCAAATGTGAGATTATGATTAATGACAAGAGAACTCGGGAAATACAATTATTTCTGGATTTACAAATTTTCAATAGGTTACTTGATTTTTTAAATTTTTTCCTTAATGAACTAGTTTAAGAATTTGGGTTGAAGCCAAATGCTTCTATTTATATTAACAACTTGAAAGTTTTATTGTACAAATCTCTTATACATCAGTATACTGGGTTAGGAGGACTGATTACTTTGAAATGAGATAAGATTTCCAGATACCGGATAAACCCTGGAAATTGTAATGTATATCTTACTCTCCTGTATTCAGACTAATAAGTAAAGTGGGTAGATTGTAGGAATGCTATATTTTGTAACTTTTGCTTAACCTTAATGAAATTTATAAAATGACAGTTTGCCATCAATTTCTAGCAACTGTTGTAACAAGTATAGGTGAAGAAAAAGATAGTCTTCATGATCTGTCTCCTATTATCCTTATTTTGGTGGTGATTCTCATTTACATCTTATTTACATTGCTTTAAAAGAAACTAACTTTTGGTCTTTTAGACTAAATATCTCAGATTAGACATTTTGGAATCTTTTCTCAAAGGAAACATTTCAATTTAACCTCTTCACTTACATTTGATTTCTAGCATTAATCTCCCCCAAATGACTACTGGTTAGCCTAACTTGAATGATTTGGTATCAGTTAACTGAAAATGAGTGCTATGAGAAAAAGACGTTGTTACTAAATTTTTGATAGTTTTATAAAGTCTTCAGGGTGGTTGTCTTTATACTGTTTAATTTTTCAGAATAAATATTTTGGGATATAGTTTTTAGTAGTATAGAGGAAGCATCATTTGGGTTATCATGGTGTTAAGTTTTCATTTAAATTTCATTGTGCTTTTTTCCCTCCCCTTCAACTTAATGCTAATAACACATATTTTGTTTCTGAATTATGGTAAATTGGACACAGAAGTGTTCTCAAGTAAATTTTTCCTTTAATTTTACTACACCTTACTTATGACCTCATCTACAAGATCTTATTATTTCTTGGCATTACATTTACTTTTTATAATGACACTGTTGGTATAACTTACTTTATGAAAGAACCAGTAGCTTAATTGTGTTAAACTTATTCACATATTTAAATAAAATTCATTTACAGCACAGTGTTAACAGTTGACTTACTAGAGGATGCAGCTTTCTTAAAGAATATGTTGAAATACCAAGATTTATTGACTTTAATTAAATCAATTTATTTTTTGAAAAGTAAAGACCTTAAGGTTTAGAAACATACTACTAGTTAGGGAACTTGATTTTCATCCTCCGAACAAAAGAAAATCTGTTGAAATATAGTTTGATACTTATAGAAGAGAGAAACATTGGGAGACATTGAATATTAAGGAATTTGTCTTACTCAGGTACAGGTTTAATTAATGCAGTGATGATAGGGAGAATAAGCCCTGTCCCTAGTATTGCTGTGCTTTTTGTCTAATGCCTTCAGAATAGAGTGAAAAAAAATTTAAATCTGGCTGTGTTACCAGCTATAATCATATTTGTAATATGAGGGAAAAAATGAAGTGAATAGGTTTTTTTTTTTTTTTTTTAAGATTTATTTATTTGTGCATACAGAACTGAGGTACAGGCCAGAGGCTCAGGGGCAGTGAGAGGCTTCACAGTGGGGAACAGAACAGGCAGATCAACGAAGTACACTGCGGAGGGGAGCAGCGGGTGCGTCAGGAGAGGTCTGCCACACCATGTGGTCACCTCCGGGGCAGGTGGGGATCGAACTCATGCAGAAGCGTCTTTAGATTCTCAGGGCTGTGCTTTAACCCCCTGCGCCACAAGGGAGGGCCCGTGAATAGGTTTTATTTGGTAGTAATACATACCTCAGAAGAAGCAGGGATGCTAAAGAATATTTGTGAAGTTCTAAATTTCAAAGCACAAGAGTAATGTTCACTTTTTCTTAAATCTAATTCCATGTTATTTTCTTAATCTAGGTATGTGGAAGTGAACTTTGAAAAGGGAAAGTTAAGGATTCTCCTGACTAGGAGAATCTAGGAGTGTTTATTACTCATGGGTGCTTAATCTGTCTTGGCAAAGAGATTCCCCCCCCCCCCATTAAAGCAATCAACTCTGAGTTAACAAACTGGTGTTATCTGTTGAATACAGGTGGCTTTTACACAGAGGAAATAATTAACTCAAAGCAACTTTCAATGATAGACTATGTGGGAGATCAAGTTCAGAGATGGAAGAATGCCTGTTAATTTTACCTGCTCTAGGCTACTAACCTACAAATATTCATTATAGTATAATAGTATTTATCAATAGTATAACCTTAGGACTTCCCCTTTTATTCTCTGGTTCTCTGTGTGCCTGCCAATATACAAGGCACTGTTCTAGATAGAAGACTGAGTGAAACAGAATTCT